GAAAACTTATTTACACTCTTTACCTGTACTTTGTTAATAATTTATATTTGAATGTATGATTAATTAGAGGAAAACTTATTTACACTCTTTACCTGTACTTTGTTAATAATTTATATTTGAATGTATGATTAATTAGAGGAAAGCTTATTTACACTCTTTACCTGTACTTTGTTAATAATTTATATTTGAATGTATAATTAATTAGAAGAAAGCTTATTTACACCCGTTACCTGTACTTTGTTAATAGTTTATATCTGCATGTATGATTAATTAGAGGATAGCTTATTTACACCCCTAAACTCTCCTTTGTTAATAATTTGTATTTGAATGTATGATTAATTAGAGAAAATCTTATTTACACCCTTTACCTGTACTTTGTTAATAATTTATATTTGAATGTATGATTAATTAGAGAAAAGCTTATTTACACTCTTTACCTGTACTTTGTTAATAATTTATATTTGAATGTATGATTTATTAGCGGAAAGCTTATTTACACCCCTCAACAGTCCTTTGTTAATAGTTTATATCTGCATGTATTATGTATTAGCGGAGAAATGTTTCGTGTGGAGTTCACTTGCTTGAAATAACTTCACGCGTTTGTGTACTGATTTTGTTGATGTTGGGTTTATTTTTTCTTGGTTAATTTCGTCTAAAAGACCAAGAACGTACATTGAATTTGTGACTAGGTTAATTAAGCCGAGGTTTATCTGAATACTGTGTTAACGGATTTGGTCTGTCACAGGCACCACTACTTTACACATTTCGTCACCAACCCAAGTAGTCATTATGTGACGTTACTTCGGCTCAGGGGGAAGGGGGGGGGTTGTGGATACTAATCAAGCTAGGATTTACCTGGTAGAGAGAGAGAGGCGATACTTTCTCGCTAAGGTCAACACAACCGAGAGGATTAAGTGGTCAATTTTTTCTTCCTTATGCTTTTGACGATCTTGCTTCCCTGGATAGCTGTAACCTAGCCAGTGACTAGTATTTGAAGTTGTACAGATCCGGATCATTTAGTAAATTGGTAATGAGTGACTAATGCTAAGCGGTCGTTATAAAACGTTTAGAACGATTGCACAGAGCGGTAAACGTTTCATAACGAAACGTGCAATATAGCTGTCAGTTTCACATCGTGACCACAAACAATTTACTCTTGAGGTCAATATTTAACCTCAACGTCTACAGATTGGGCAAATAACAAAGTTTACTGGATACCATTCAAGGGTTTGTTCTTCTATAGCTTGTAGTCACTGGAGTTTATTGAAAAGAGGAGCTAAGTGAATTGGGATCGAGCAGCATCTATTGCACTATGTGTTTAGAACGAGATAAATACTGTATATTCTTAAGTTTAAGCTTGTTGAGCTATATTTACTCAGACTGTGAAAAAATTTTCTACGTATATCCACGCCTGCTACCATGAGTCAAGGGCCAGAATCCGTGTTCTGTTTCTCTTTGTTTTCTACATCTTATTGGTCTCAATAATTTTAAAAATTTCGCGACATTCGTCTTATTAGTGGAATTTAATGTCTGATGATAACAAATACGACAGAAGACTGCAACAAGTAAAAAGCTATAGTCATATATGTGTATATTTTACTGCTTTAATATATTTCATTCTCCATCCTTCGCGCGAAGAAAACAATCAGTCATCTGTTGGGTTATTTTTGTTAACCTGACAAGCATGTCGTAAAATCAAACTTTAGAAAGGCATTTTTTTTTAAACATGAATTTATTACATCTTTGGTACGCTGTTATAACATGTACAAAGAATAATAATAATGATTAAGTTAAGTACGTATATTAGAGTTACACCAACATTAATAAGTATTTTTCAAAATATTGAGTTACATTATTGTTCTAACCACATTACAACTCCAAGAGTATTAGCTTATAACGCAATCGCTAATGTGCAATCATTGTTATGGTTAGTAACCTCTACGATCACTTAAATAGTGTTATCAATTACTAACTGATACTAACTAGATACTAATTATTAACTAGCTTTTACCCTCTGCTTCGTCTTCTAATATGCTGTCGTCTTCAGGGAAGACCTGAAAAGGACTATTTCCCGTATTGGTAGTGGCTGGTATCTAGTTATATGTTAAAAATAAATAAAATGAAAATTTGATACTAATTACTAACTAGGCTTAGGTGATAGTAGAGGCAACCAACCATGACAACTGTAAATGCCCTACAGCCAAAATCTTGATATTTTTTCAATTATGTCTTTTATAGCCTGTTGTACCAGAAAACAACATCTATACTCTTAGATACTGTAGATAGCTCCTAGTATGCCCAAAGTTCTCTTTGTGCTTGATGTAGCCGTGATTTAAGGTCTTATTTTGATAGCTCTAGTATGCCCAAAGTTCTCTTTGTGCTTGATGTAGCCGTGATTTAAGGTCTTATTTTGATAGCTCTAGTATGCCCAAAGTTCCCTTTGTGCCTGATGTAGCCGTGATTTAAGGCCTTATTTTGATTATTTTAAATTATATCACTTGAAGAGTTAATCCAGTTAAATAACACCGGTGTTAAACTTTACTCCATAAAGTATTCTTTTTTGTTGTTGTTGTTGTGGTTGTTTACTTGTAGTTAAGCGCAAATATACACAATTGCTCTCTGTGTTCTGCCCACCGCAAGTATCGAAACTCGATTTTCAACATTATAATCCCACAGACCTAGCGCTGAGCCATCAAAGGGCCTTGTTAAAGTATCGAAATTGTCCTATATCAGTGTTAGTCTCGAAGGTGGAAATTGGTGGACGCCATTATTTTTGGGGAAACGCTATTTTTCATATTCCTGTCTGCAGTGTTATTTGTCTTGAATAATAATTTTATTTTAGCACCACATTGGGTAATAGTGGATATAAACTTTAATATGAGATGTGGTTCTGTAATAGTAGATCTAAACTTTAATATGAGATGTGGTTCCGTAATAGTAGATCTGAACTTTAATATGAGATGTGGTTCCGTAATAGTAGATCTAAACTTTAATATAAGATGTGGTTCCGTAATAGTAGATCTAAACTTTAATTTAAACTTTGGTTCCTTAATAGTGGACCTAAACTTTAATATAAGATGTGGTTCCGTAATAGTAGATCTAAACTTTAATATGAGATGTGGTTCCGTAATAGTAGATCTAAACTTTAATATGAGATGTGGTTCCGTAATAGTAGATCTAAACTTTAATTTAAACTTTGGTTCCTTAATAGTAGATCTAAACTTTAATATAAGATGTGGTTCCGTAATAGTAGATCTAAACTTTAATATAAGATGTGGTTCCGTAATAGTAGATCTAAACTTTAATATGAGATGTGGTTCCGTAATAGTAGATCTAAACTTTAATATGAGATGTGGTTCCTTAATAGTGGATCTAAACTTTAATATAAGATGTGGTTCCGTAATAGTAGATCTAAACTTTAATATAAGATGTGGTTCCTTAATAGTATATCTAAACTTTAATATGAGATGTGGTTCCTTAATAGTGGATCTAAACTTTAATATAAGATGTGGTTCCGTAATAGTAGATCTAAACTTTAATTTAAACTTTGGTTCCTTAATAGTGGATCTAAACTTTAATTTAAGCTGTGGTTCCGTAATATTAGATCTAAACTTTAATATAAGATGTGGTTCCGTAATAGTAGATCTAAACTTTAATTTAAACTTTGGTTCCGTAATAGTGGATTTAAACTTTAATTTAAACTGTGTTTACGTAATAATGGATATAAATTTTAATTTATATATCTTGATGAATTTTGTTAAGTACATTTAATATGATTATTTAATTTTAAAAATATATTTGTATAACGACAATACCAATTTAACGGAATAGAAGATGATAAATTGGACTCCGCCATAGTAATAAAACAAAGAAAGTAAGCTTTTTTTTAACTATTAGATGATTGTAAGTTGTTATATATGACCATACAATTGATGACAGTTATTCTTCCTGACCACAGTTGCTAATAGATTTGAAATTATTAGAACAATAAATATATAGCACTATCTACTTAATGTTGAGAGTCATTGGTGGGATCCAAGATCACATGTCTTGGATTGGATGGGTTTTTCAAGAAAGGGCGGAGCTACTCGTTGTCTGTAGTCAGTACTGCCACCAACCGTCCCTAGGGGGCGTATTCCTCAGGGAGGCCCTTCACCCAAGCGATTGTAAATACACAAAACGCACCCCAGGATAACTGATTCCGTCAAATGAACGGTCACTAGTAGCCGAGCTGTACTCATGTTCTTTTTCCAGAACGGAAATAACTTGACAAATGAACAGAAACTTCAGCTCTTAATCCGGGTGAAGGCGGAAAACCATATGAGAAGTGTTAATGTAACGTAATAAGTTCGGAGTCGATATGTTAACGCGACAGATTTTGCTAAAGGAGACGAGGCAGATGGAAAGTTTTGTTCGGGATAAAATCAGGTTTTTATCAAGAACTAATAACACCACAATAATCCTATAGTATCTTACAACACCATAAGTGGTTTTGTATATATATATATATATAAGCTAAGAAAGCCACTTTCATGATTAGTGATTCCAAGCCGACCTGATGTTAAAAATGACAAAAACACTATAACCCGAGCGCTTTCGAAAAGTGGACTTTTCTTCTTCAGGGGCAAATTGGGAATGTTGGTATTTTAGACAAGGATTTGGATTAAGTGTTGCCGTGTGATAAAGAAACCCCTCTTTATTCTAGAGTAGAAATTGAGTTATTTGTATGTTCTTCGTGCTCACGTGATACGGGTTTTGTACGCACGATCGTGTGTTATCTTTGTATCGAAACACACTTGTTTTTAGGTCCAACTAACTTTTCATCTAATATACACGAAAAACGTGTTTGTAGTGACTGTTCAGACCATACTATACCACTAAAGCGACTGAGAGGACCGCGTGGTCAATGTTCGGGCTGACGGACTCTGGACTTCAGCCTCGAGGCCCAACGGCCACCTTAAAGGAGGAAGCTCTATGCGCTGCGCAGATCGGGACGATGAGGAACGAATGGATTCAACCGACAGCCATTGATCAAAGTGCAGGAAGGTAGGTTTATATTTTTCCACACGAAAAAAGTGTATGTAATTCATTCATATTAGTTAATATATACTAACCATTTGTCGTTATTTTATGTAACATGTTTATAATTACCAATTATGTCATGTATACTAACCATTTGTTGTTATGTAACATGTTTATAATTACCAATTATGTCATGTATACTAACCATTTGTCGTTATTTTATGTAACATGTTTATAATTACCAATTATGTCATGTATACTAACCATTTGTCGTTATGTAACATGTTTATAATTACCAATTATGTCATGTATACTAACCATTTGTCGTTATGTAACATGTTTATAATTACCAATTATGTCATGTATACTAACCATTTGTGTTATGTAACATGTTTATAATTACCAATTATGTCATGTATACTAACCATTTGTCGTTATGTAACATGTTTATAATTACCAATTATGTCATGTATACTAACCATTTGTCGTTATGTAACATGTTTATAATTACCAATTAT